TGACTTTGAATAAAGCACTTTTGATGTTTCTCTTGAAATGATGGTGTTTTCTTTGATGACAAACTCCGCATTAGTAACCCGCACACCTAGTAGAATGGTAGGGGACCTGCCCGAGCCCACACAGCCCTCAGCGGGGATCAGGAATTCAAACCCAGAGGCCTTGCGCTCCAGGCCCAGCAGCTCTGCCCTGGGCACCCGGCCAGGCCAGCCCTGCTGGCGGCGGGAGTGGAGACCTTCCCCCACCCCCCTGGCTTCCCTCCTCAGAGCCCAGGCGCCTCGCTGGCCTCAGTCACACCGCGGTTTACCTGCCTGTGGGCTGAGAGGTCGTGGGGCTGGTCAGTCAGGAACAGCCCACGTGGCAGTAAACAGCGGGACAGCCGGGCAGTTTCCGGACCAGGTGAGCAGACGCATGGAGGCCGGGCTGCGGGAATGGGCCCCAGGGGCCATCCACTCCACACGCATGCGGGGTGCTGCTCGAATCGTTGCTGTGTATCCCTTGAGTGATTGTCTGTCACGCTTAGCACCACCTCAGCAGAGGTTTAAAAGGGACGGAAAAGCAGCAAACCCGGCTGTGATTATTGCTGGATGAGGGGATTAGAGGGATTTCCTCTTTCCGGGTGCTCCGCGTTCCTGCATCTCCACCTCTCAGAGGTGGCACGTGCCCAGGTTGCTCTCAGCCACAGGGAACAGACAGTCCTTCCTCAAACTGGATTACGCAACGGGGACGTGAGTGCAGGTGATCGGAAGGCCCGCGAAGGAGGCCCCAGGTGTGGCGGGTCGGAGATGCCACTAAAGGCCCACTCTCCTCCGTCCCGCTCTCCTGCCTGGGCCCCAGCACACCCCCCATGGACGCCTGGTCCCCTCGCGGGCACCCACATGCAGCAGTCCCTGAGCCAGAGTGGGCACTGCCGCGTCCGGACACAGAAATGGTGCCTCCTTCTTCGGGGTCTCATTTTTTCAGAGTGCAGGACCCTCTAGAAGCCCCTGCGGGTCTCCTGCCCACTCCTAAGTCTGAGCCCGGGAGAAGGGATGCCTTAGACGCCCCCGGCCACCGGCCGGAGCTGGGGCGGGGCCGGCTGTCTGGAGTCGGGGCCTTGGGAAGGATGATGCCACGCAGACAGTCTGCTATGGCGTATATTATTTTATAATTTAAAGCTTAAAAAATTACCCCATGTGGTAAGAACCTCAGGCGAGGGCTTTGATGGGGGCTGGGCTCCACGTGTGGGCCCCACAGCTCCTCCATTCATGAAAACTTCCTGCTCTTAATGGGAAATGTGGCCAAGCAGGAGCAAACCATGCCCCATTTCTGCTGCAGGATATGGCTTTATCGCTGGGGACATCAGGAGCCCAACGGGACTCACCGGGCAGCCGTGGGGCCCACACGTCGTCAGGGCTGTCTGTCATACGGATCTTAGGAGCCAGGCCATGACCGGGCTCCCTTCTTGGCCAAGAAAGTCCTTTCTCTTTTTTTAAAATAAGTTTTTATTGATTTCAGAGAGGAAGGGAGAGGGAGATAGAAACATCAACGATGAGAGTGAATCATTAATAGGCTGCCTCCCGCACGCCCCACACTGGGGATCGAGCCTGCAACCCAGGCATGTGCCCCGACGGGGAATCAAACTGTGAGCTCCTGGTTCATAGGCGATGCTCAGAAGGTCCTTTCTTACGCTGTCGTGGCTCAAACTAAGTGCTGCCTTCCCCAGGACCAGGGCTGAGCTTTCATCAGACGTGACTTGACGGAAGCTCCTAACTCGCAAGGGCTCGGCCACGATGAATGAGAGGGCCCTGAAGGTGGCTCGGACCCCAGCCTTGCAAATCTGAGTGGGGGGGGCGCCACTGGGAGGCCCCTCGGGTTCTCCTGACTCCCCAAACTTCCTCAGCTGCCTCCTGGCAAGTGGGGACCAGCGGCAGGGAGCTCGGGGCCTTTCAGCCGGTTGTACATGCGTAACTGTCTGAGGCAAGGGGTGCAGAAACGAAGACGCCGGGTTCAATGTCTTCATCAGAGAATAAGCTTTACGTTGTGTCCTAGCAGCCGTCTGTGCTGCTAGGACAGAACCATACGTGGATTTAAAGACAAAGAAAGAGACGTAACCGGTTTGGCTCAGTGAATAGAGCGCCGGCCTGCGGACTGAAGGGTCCCAGGTTCGATTCCGGTCAAGGGCATGTGCCTTGTTTGCGGGCACATCCCCAGTGGGGGTTGTGCAGGAGGCAGCTGATGGATGTTTCTCTCTCATCCATGTTTCTAGCTCTCTATCCCTTTCCCTTCCTCTCTGTAAAAAGTCAATAAAATATATTAAAAAAAATAAAGACAAAGAAAGAAAACCCCCACTTTACGGTTTTCTCCGAGTTCAGGGTGTCTCTAACTTAATAAGCTGGAGTGACTTGGGCTGGACCCCTGGCTTTCTAGGCTCTGGGGTTCTTCCCTCCGTGAGGTCATGTGCCAGGCATTACTCTAAGTCTCAGAACAATAAGCGGATGAGAGCATAAATGGGCCATTAAAGAGTCATTCGGGTTATTGCCACTTGCTATTTAAAGAATTTATGAGTCAAGCCAATGCACCCTTTCCGCAGGGGCCATATGGAAATGTTTCAGGCCAGATCCGGTCCTGGTCGCCTGCTCAGCAGTGTGTCCGAGGGTGCGGGCACCTGCATGAATCAGCTGCTCCGCCCGGCCGGCTGGCAGGGTACCACCTGGGCATTCCTCACGGCTCTGTGCTTGTGGGTGATGGGCTCTCACCACCGCACCTGCTCCTGCTGGAGAGATGCAGCCTGCGGCAAGGGATGCCTGGAGCCCCCAGAAGCTGGAGAGGCAGGAAGGACCCTCCCCTCCAGCCTCAGGAGGGAGCGTGGCCCTGCCCACACCTGGACTTCACCTCTAGAACCTCTGGCCTCCAGACCTGGGAGAAAACCCATTTCTTTTTTCAAAACAATATTTTTATTGATTTCCGAGAAGAAGTGAGAGATAGAAGCGTCAATGATGAGAGAGAATCATTGATTGGCTGCCTCCTGCACAGCCCCCACTGAGGATCAAGCCTGCCACCCGAGCATGTGCCCTGACCAGAATTGAGCCTGGGACCCTTCCGTCCACAGGCCAAGGCTCTATCCACTGAGCCAAACTGGCTAGGGTGAGAACCCATTTCTTTGTTAAGCTGTCCAGTTCCTGCAGTTTGTTATGGCGGCCCCAGGACATTAGCACGTCAGTGTGGGTGCTTCCTGAGCCTGGGGGGTGAAAAGCCCCCTCTCCCTGCCAGGTCAAGTTCAGAGGTGTGCCTGTGTCCCTGCGGGTGTGGACAAGGTTGTGCAGGCTCTTGGCTTTTCGTCAGAGAGGTGGCTGATTTCTGAGAGCAGGAGCACCCCAGCTAATGTCCTGAGGGCAGCCGCCGGGCACGCCTGGGCACTAGCACAGTCCCCGACAGAGGCACCCTGGGAGGGAGGCAGGGATCAGACCTGCAACCCAGGTACTTGCCCTTGACTGGGAATCGAACCTGCAACCCCCTGGTGCATAGGCCGATGCCCTAACCACTGAACCATGCCAGCCGGGGCAAAAATCTACTCTTATACCTTGTGTCTTCCCACACTCGGAATTACGGGGCCGAGTGAATGTTTGCTGAGCTGACAATGGGATGAGTCCATGAACAGGTAACGTGGAGATGAAAAGAAAATCATTCTGACAAAGGAAAGCTGGGGGGGAGATTTAAAGGCGCCTGGGGCGGCTGGCCTGGGAGATTCACACACACTACTGCACACTCACACTCACACTTACACACACTACTGCATACTTACACTACTGCACACTCACATACTACTGCACACTCACACTACTGCACACTCACACTCACACTTACACACACTACTGCACACTCACACTTACACACTACTGCATACTTACACACACTACTGCACACTCACACTCATACTTACACACACTACTGCATACTTACACTACTGCACACTCACATACTACTGCACACTCACACTACTGCACACTCACACACACTACTGCACACTCACACACACTACTGCACACTCACACACACTACTGCACACTCACACACACTACTGCACACTCACACACACTACTGCACACTCACACACACTACTGCACACTCACACACACTACTGCACACTCACACACACTACTGCACACTCACACACACTACTGCACACTCACACACACTACTGCACACTCACACACACTACTGCACACTCACACTCATACTACTGCACACTCATACTCACACTCACACACTACTGCACACTCACACACTACTGCACACACACTACTGCACTCACGCACACACTTCTGCACACTCACGCACACCACTGCACACTCACACTCATACTCACATACTACTGCACACACACTACTGCACATTCACATACAGTACTGCACACTCACACACACTACTGCATACACAAACACACACACTGCTGCGTGCACACACACATGCACACGTATGCTCACACACACACACCAAGGAAGGGGCACCCGTGGAAGGACAATGTTTGTTCCTCCTCCTCTTTCCTCCTACTTGCTGGCTGGAGGTAGAGGACACATTGGTAACAGCCAAGCAGCCAGACACAAGGAACCTCTGTCCCTGGCGATGAGGTTGCGGGCTCCCTGCGGCCCCGCAGCCTAACCATCAGGCCTGAGCTCTAAGCCTCCTGTGTCAGCACGCCTTGCTGTTTACCCAGGAAATTCTTGGTCAGAAAGATCAGACTGTCAACCAATAAATAACTTCACTGTTTGCTGCAGGAAATCGTGAAAAATAATGTCTGGCTCATCTTGACAAACAACCCCCTCTCAGGGTGACAGATTGCTCCCTTGGGCAAACAGCCCATTTATCAAACAGCTGTTTCTACTCATCAAGACTCAAATATTCAAGGCTGCGTGCACCAGGCCCACACTGCTGCATCACCAACGCGGCTGCCTGAGACCCCAGCCTTGGGAGACCCCACACCCCGAAAGGTCCACCTGGACCTGCCCCCGCTGACCCGCCAGAGTGTGTGCGGGCGGGTAGGCAAGGCGGTGCTCTGCCGCCTGCAGCGGTTAATCCCCTGAGCTTGGGGTCATTGGCAGGTGTTTCTGCTGGTCTCTTGGGGGAGTTGACATTGATCATGGAGGCACCACCCCAGCCCTGGACTTCATCCCCGCGAGAGGGACATACATCTTCGTCTTGTCAGGACACTTGTACTTTGGGGTTTTGGTCAATGGCGGCCAAAGGTGACCCAGTCCACTGTCCATTCCCCTCCATGCCGTACTACCCGGTGTGACGCCCCGCGCAGTATGGTGCGCAGGAGTTTCTTGTGGATTTTGGACACCTGCCCGATAAAACTATTTTAGAAACCATCAGACACACCATCACGTATACCTCTAAACAAGTGTTTCTTTCAAATTATCCACCTAGCGACGCTGTTCATGTATCTCAATGATACGGCTACTGCTTGAGACACTTTCAAAACCCTCTTTTTGTAATTACATCTTGATTTCCCCTCCTCAGTGGTGACAAACCATCTTTTTTTGTGTGAAAAACGTTTTATTATGGATAATTTCAAACATATACAAAAGTGGGCAGAATGATATAATGCACAACGACCAACTTAGGACAAATCTTAGTTCATCTAGGCCCTTACTCCTTCCCTTTTCCATTTGGATTACTTTGAAGTTAACCCTAGAGATCACATTTTTTCACTCAGAAATATTTCAGTTCATCCAAAAGGTAAGGCTTCTTGAAAAAATATTAGCCCACCTAAAATATTAATAGTAATTTCTTTTTTTTAAATATATTTTATTGATTTTTCACAGAGAGGAAGGATAGAGAGTTAGAAACATCGATCAGCTGCCTCCTGCACACTCCCTACTGGGGATGTGCCCGCAACCCAGGTACATGCCCTTGACCGGAATCGAACCCGGGACCCTTCAGTCCGAAGGCCAACGATCCATCCACTGAGCCAAACCGGTTTCGGCTAATAGTAATTTCTTAATATTATATAATCAAATAGTATTTAAAATTTCCTAATGCATAATTTTTGTACTATTTTATTTGTTAAAATCAAGGTAGAAATAAAGTTCACATATTGGTTGATGTCTCAGGTGTGTTTTTCTTTAACATTTTTTAAAAAATATATTTTATTGATTTTTTACAGCGAGGAAGGGAGAGGGAGAGTTAGAAACATTGATGAGAGAGGAACATCGATCAGCTGCCTCCTGCA